CTGGCGATGTGGCAATAAGATTAATTGTCTGGATGCCACACTGCAAAAACAATCTGGAAACGAGTAAAAATGTCTTAAAATTAGTGTATTTAGCATAATTCAAGCAAGTAAATAATAAGATTTGCCAATGGAATGAGTATTTTTACTCTTAAAATAAGATAATTAGATAATATCTACTTGAAATAAGACAACGCAATTGTTTTTTTCTTATTTTAGATGTAAATTGCCTTATTCCATTGGCAAAGTGTATCACTTAATCGCTTAATTTATGACAGAAATGCTCTTTTTTAAAGAAAAATAAACTTACTTAGATTTAAATTTTTTGCAGTGTTCTTACTTCTCATCATCATACCAACAGATTCTGTTTAGTTATAAACTTATTAAATACATTTTGATAGTATGTAAAAATAGATTAAACTACATCAAAAAGTTTATTGTGTTTTCACTCAACTCCCAAATGACAAGACAGACTCAACAGATGGAAAACACCATTTATCCAATAAGCCTTGTGTAAAAAACAGCGTGTCTCTCACTGGTGCATATCTGTTTAAAACACACTTATTTTGATTAAGTTAAGTAACGGATGTAATGGATGGAGTAGCCAGAAATTTTTCTCAAGAGTAGTGATATTTCATCATATATTCACACTCGTGAAAGTACAATGCTTTAAAACTACTCCCAAAAGTACTTTTCTTTTTAAAAAAGTTACTCAAGTAAATGCAACTAATTAAATATAACTAGTTACTGCCCACCTCTGGCCAAGTGTACATTAGATGAAAGGTAACCAGTTCTGACAACTTGGGGAAATGCAAAAGCAGTTCATTACCTCTGACTGCCAGCCAGCTCTTTGGGGAGTCTCCTTTAGAAGGATGTCGACACTTGTAGAAACCTTCCTTTGCTTTTATAGTTATTTTTGCAGGTTTATTTTTACCTATGAAAATATTATCTTTGTAGAAATCGCCAAAGAAATCTGAAGTAGACCTTTCATCATCTTCTTCTTTGTAGGAACATCCAAGTGTGACATTTTCACCTTCAACAACAGGGAACGGGGGGCTCTCGAGGATAACTGTTGTGTCTGAAATGAATGTTGAAGCCCACTTTATGACAAGCTAATTTTCTTAACAAGTACAATCAACCAAGTTCAGAATATACCAGAACAAGATTCATGTCTATTACCGGTTACAGTGAGATTGACCTTGTTGCTGCAATCTCTTTGTTGAGATTCACACCAGTACACAGCAGTGTCAGAACGGTACGCCTTCTCAATGATGCAAGACGATTCTTTAGGGATGGCCCAGCCGAACTTGCATTTCTCCTCAGGGACATTTTTAGTTGTCCTCTTTACCGTCCAGCCAATGGAGTCTGACACACAGGTGAGGTTAATGGTGTCATAGGGAAAGAACTGGGATCGGTTGGGAGAGACAGTCAATGTGGCTGCAAAAAAGAGAAGTACAGAATAAATTATTGATCCATTCAAATCTATGTAATTTAAAATGTTTAGTTATATAGGGGAAAAATGGCACACAGAAACTTAATGCTGCTTCTCCATGTTTGTCATGATCTTGGCACTGATGGTTTGGTTTTTTCCTTTGCTCCTTGCTCCCCTGTCTAATTGGTTCTGCGGCTGATTATCGCCGATCATTTTCACCTGGTTCCTCAAAGCTCCACGAACGGACTGAACTTTGAATCAGGTTAGTGACTAGCTCCAAGTCGTATTCAGCTCCACACCCAGTCACTGACCTGTATTCTCCTATCCCTGCAGAGATCCGCCCGCAGCAGACGAGCAGCCCCGCACACCTGTTTGTTAATAAATGCTTTGAACTTCCCCACTGCCTGTCTCGCCTTGAATTTTGGGTCCAACATTCTGAGATCATTACAATGTTTGGTTATATTTTTGGGTGTACAGTACTAAGTACACTCAAACTAGCAGACCTAAGTGGTCTGGGAGGTTGATGCACTGACAACCAATCTGCTATTTATGTGCTGATCGATTCAGTGATTCATAGACTAACAGAAGGATTTTGAAGTCTATTCTTTGATCTACCAGGTGCCAGTGTAAGGACTTCAAAACCAGACTGATGTGTTATTCTGTCTTAGATCAAGTGAAAACCCAGACAGCCATGTTTTAGATCAGCTGCAGATGTTTGACGGCCAAATACTTAGGCAAAAATATCAAGACCCTGAAGCATTAATCAATTCTACTTAAGATAAATGCATGTTTAGCTGCATTTCTATTACAAGTTTAAGCAAAATATTGTGCTAATTTTGAAAATGCTACCTCTTCCAAATGCAGTATATTTATTTAACAACAAATATAATTAATATTGCACTTAAATCTGTTTTTTCACACGATACCCAGAAAACAACTTGTGAGTAGTGGATATAAACACATGGGATATATTTATTTTTCTATCCTGGCCAGCAAGACAGAGCTATGCTACTAAAAATTAAGTCTGGTAATCTGCCTTAGCAGTACTTACTGCTTTTCCAATAACTTGTATTTTTTCAGTAAAGAACTTTGCAAAGTCAGTGCAGGCCTTTTTTTGATTGGAGGTCATAGGCCTCAGAGATACGAAGGTTTGATAACTTGTTGACTGTGGCAAACAGGGCGCAAGAATTAAAATGTTCTGCTTGATAATCGCTGAGAAAAAAGATTCTCTTGCATCATTGAGTTGTGAATAACATTTGTGAAGTCTCTTTTTATAGAACTTATAGGGAGGCTGGAGCCCATTCTTTGGCCACCTTTGTTCGGCTCTTCAAGACTCCCTCTTTTCCAAAGGGACCAACGATCTCTGCAACTTTGAAAAGGAAATTATCAAACATCTAATCTACTAAGTAACAAGGTAAGGTGGAAGCAGAGGGAGGAGCTTGGTTAAAGTTTTTGTTCTGACTGTCCAGTCTGATACTCTTTCTTAAGAGGATTTTAGTTCTTCCCTTTGCGGATTTTGTTTTTTTCAAAAGGTTTTTTTGGGTCTGTTTTTCGATTCTTTCAATTCATTTCAATTCAGTTTATTTTTATAGCGCCAATTCACAACACAAGTCATCTCAAGGCACTTTACAGTTCAACCAGATCATACAGTAAAATTAATTCAAAGTTTTCTATCTAAGGAAAACCAGTTGATTGCATCGACTCATTGACTCAAAGGCAATCCCTCACACTAAGCATGCTTGTAGGGACAGTGGAGAGGAAAAACTCCCTTTTAACAGGAATAATATGGGGACAAAATTGTGGCTTTATTATTTACAAATGTGTGTGGAGAGTTGTATATCTGTATCT